TCCTTAGCCACCCCCTTAAAACCGCCCGTGGCGAGGCGTATCCGCGGGCACCGGGAAAATCGGAGGAACCCGCGTGGTCGTCAAGAGAGAAGAAAAAAAAAACCGACGAAAACGACGACCGCGACGACAACAGTCCCACCCGCGCGCGTATATTTATATCGACTGTTATAATATTATATTTACTTTGCGTCGGAAAACCGTCAACGTCATCGTCGTTAAATAAACATGGCACCGGTGTACGAGTATAATATAGCAGCAGTCGTCGTGTAGTAGCCGTGTGTGCCTATATAGCTGGTGTGACGGTGGTGGCCGAGTCGGAGGAGTCATTAAATTGTCAAGTGCGTTCTCGGTGGGCGGTTACTCGGGGGTGGACGGGTGATGGGTGATGGATGGATGGGGGGGGTGGCTTGTTGGTCGTCGTCGTCGTCACCGTCACCGTCGCCCCCGTCAACGCGCCGGTGAAGGCTGTGCACGGAAACGTATTACAATGTATACACACGCCTACCCGGGCGCGGCGGGGGAAGAGAAGTGAGCGACAAAGTAATAATAATAATAATGATAACGAATAACAGTCACGTAATAACGGGTAGGAAGAAAGGAAGAAAAGGAGAGAAGGAAGGAACGAAAAAAAAAAAAAACTAAGGAAAATTAAATATTCACGTGTTGCAATTACCCGCGTGGCTCGCGCGCGAAGGCGTGAGCGGGCCACTGCTAATCTACGGCGGAAATCGCAAGACACACCCGCGCGCGATACAACGATTAATTCGTCGTAATGTGTAATGTGTGTTGATTAATTGCGTGCAACGCACTCGCGTAGCTTTTTACGATCGACGACCATTCGACGGTCATTACGTTATTGTTACTGCGAAAACCGTGCGCGCGATTCGCACAATACCGACTTTGATTGTTGCGAAGAAGGGGGGGGGGGGAAATTAAAAAAGTACTGTTCGCTCCGCCGTAATGTTTACGCGTGCCGACGAGCGACTATTGCTTTTTTCTATTTTTTTTACCCGTCGCTGTCGTTCCGAATGCCCCCGAGGCTGTGCAGTATGTATAGGTATGTTTACTGGTCGCGTACGCAATGTACGGTGTCCGGCGGAATATTACGAGCGGCGATCGTTGGTAAAACGGTTGTCCTTTTGTTCGATTCGAGAGGACAAAAGGAACCGACGAACAAGAGTAGAGAAAACACGACTTCGGTAACATTAAGGCAATCGATTTCAATCTATTCCGTTACTTTAAAGACGTCTTTTATTTATTTATTTTATTTTTTTTCCTCTCCGCCGTTCCGCGACCCGAATACGCTTTGTGTACGCGGGCATCAAGTCGCTAACTCTATACTGTGTACATACATGTGTGCGTACGTACATCGTACATATATATATATATATATATACATTTGTACACGGTCCGTCGATTGTGCCGCGACGTCGTCGCACAGTCGCGCGTCATTCGGTTTTGTGTTCTTCGAGCAAATAGAGCGCGAAACGGGCCACCAAGGGGTTAGTCGTCGTAGCGGGGAGTGTTTTTGTACGGCCGATTAGGCGTACGGCGATTAAAGGGCGAGGGTGAGCGCGTTCAAAAGACCGTTAACCGGATAAAAGAGAGTGTATGAAAACATAATAATAATAATAGTAATAATGTACACTAACACCGTGAAATATGTCGTGTGCGTGTGTTCGTGTGTGTGTGCACGTGTGTGTGTGAGAGATATATAGAGAGAGAGAGAGAGACAATCCGTATCCGCGCGGGAATAAATGAAAGTATTAAATATTTGCTATTGCATACACGAGAGCGTACTGACAGATTCGGTTCACGAATTGATTTTGGAAATCCTTTGTGCACGCGCCTAATCTGTTAAGAAACGTACGAGGCAATTGTATAATGTGTGAATCACAGCGATAACTGTTCAAGACGGAATTCAAGGCGGATTCAAAAAAACATTTCGTTATTTTATACAAGTTTCCGGCTCGTCCAGTTCTGCAACGTTCTTAAGTGTGCATAATCCGTATACGGTTGTCATTTTAATGCAGGATTCAACACACTACGTATGTGGTTCATCTTGTTTGTGGTGTAAGACCGATACGCACGCGAATATATGCTTCACGTTAGAGACTGGATTATAATAATACGTTATACGCGAAATATAAAAATATTAAGTTTGTATAATAATAATAATAATACGGACAAATGGACGTAAAATAAAAAAAAAAAATTTAAATTGATTTGTAATAAGAAAAAAGTATTGTACATTTGTTATTGAATTAAATTTATTAAAAATAAATATCTGAAATTAAAAATGATAAGTATAAATAATATTGATTTGGAGAAGTATTTGTTGTTATTCCATGGACGTAAGAATTATGTTTTACTTCTGGGTACATGATTATGAACAATCCTTGAAATTTGTTTTTCGGCAACAACGAATTTCTTTAACTTTTTTTAGGTATCTCTTACCTGCTTCAGGTTGGCTATATAACATCGTGTCCATTTTGTAATTTTTTTAAACAGTCGATAAATGACCAACGATTTTGATGTTGGACTCTCGTTTCGACATTTAATCACCTATGATTGTATAGCGTATAAATAAACTGGAGCTGGCAGGACTAATATAATACATTGTATATATATTTATATTATATAAGTAACTGCAAATAATAGTTTTGTATTGTACATATTTTTTTACGTCCGTTTGTCCTAGATCGATAATGATATTATACCTAACAAGAAAATCGTGCGTTCATGATGTAGAACGTGTGTACACGTCCCGGTAGCGATTTCGATGACTTATTTAAGCTGGAGTGCTATAATGACGTGTCTTAGAGAGGCTAATGATTTTCCGTTTTAACGGTATGACTTACAGTTTTCGTTTCGCTTTCCCCCTCCCATTATAGGTCAGTAAATGGTCGTTCGACCACTTCATCAGACGATAACATAATATGTACAGCGTACAAATATCGAACAACCGTACGAATACAATATATTTTGGATTCCGTAACGCAATCATGTGCTTTGATACGTGTTTGTGTTTTTTTTTTTTTAATTCCGTTTGATTTACATTAATCGGGCCGTAACCGCCGCGGTATGCTAGTATGTATTTAGTGTAGAAACGAAAAGGGTTACGGACGCGCACATGAAAGGATTGATTGATAACAACAACAAAAGTTATAACTAATAATAATAAAACGCTCGGGGTTTTTTTTTTTTTAAACTGTCGCGATTGTGTTCGTATTAAACGTGATTAGTGTGCGATGTATTCGGCGGCGCCCGGTAACAACGTAGTGGTGGCGGTCGACGTCGGGCCGATCGGGGGGACGACATCCTTTCAAACAAAATCACTACCGTTCTATCCGCCGCCTTTTGTGTCCTGCGACACACACTTCCTGTTTATTATATTATTATGTACATGGTCGTTCATATCCGCGAAAAGATTTAATAACGGGTTATTAGCGTGCACAGCGTTCGTAAATTGATTTCGGCCGCAGTCGTGTCGATCGGTCATCAGTACACCAGAGTCGATTACGTACACGTATGGATTCGCAAAAGTTTCACGAGTTCGTATCGTCACGTTAATCTGATCCAATAGAAGTCTCAAGAGACCGGGGTGCACAAAACAATCGGAGGTCCATTAAAAAAAAAAAATTGTTCAACACAACACTTGTGTTACGTTGATCAAATTGTTTATATTATATTTGATTAATACATTTTGATGTGAGTAGGTAGGTACCTAAATTAAATTTGAAAAAACCATAAATAATTATCGATACAGACAATTTTCAACTTCAGATTTTGGTTATAGAGGACACTTATAAATTGAGGCACCGGTCTGTTGCAATCCTTGCACCCCCCCGCCGAATCTGGCGCTGATCAATCCTACGGCGTGTACGCATTAAAATTATTGTTATAGCTGCGGCTACCATGGTACCACTACAGTGGTACAGTACGCTCTTTGCAGTCAGTTTGTTACGGTAATAAATTAATACGATTGTCGTGAACAACGGTGGGGTGCGCATACATACCGTCGTTCGTTTGATTTGCATGTCGCGCGCTTCTTCTCGTATTATACAAACGCACCGGATCGCGTTTTGATATCGTTCGTTACAAATAGGCGCAAGTACAAACACGCGCAACGACGTCCGACGGCGAAAATATCCGAAACACCACCGCGAAATTACGTGATCGTCTGCGCGATCCGGTTCGTATCGTACAGTGCCCGCTGTAGTTGCCCCGCGAAAGACTCGTGCGTTATGGCTTCGCTGTAAACCGTACGAAATGTGTATACGCGCACGCGAACACGATTCGATAACACTTTTAAACAATTAAGCCGGATGTAAGAACCTTGGCGGAGGTGCCGACCGTTTTGAAAATTCGTATTACCGTTCATTACGAGTGGTGCTCGGTGTACACGTTCAATGTCCGAGCGGTTATTGACGCGGTCGTGGGGTGCATACGGTTTTGTACGGCAAAAAAATAATGGTTCGCGACGAAGCTCATTTCCAACATTCCAATTCGATCGGAACGAACGCCCACAATGTTGGTGGTTATTGCGTTTTTTCATCGTTAGTCCTCGAGAACCACCCGAAAGAGCAGTATCCCGCGTAAACCGTGGCGAGTTGTGTATTATCACATCGATGGAGACGTTTTCCTCCGTGTCATTATTACGTGCGGCATACGCAAGCATAGCGATATCGATTGACGTTCGCAAGTGCATTTACAACACGAGCTCCAAAATTATTATTTTACGCGTACAAGCATTTAAAAACGTTTTTAAAACCGACTATAATCGATAAAACACGAGAATAAAATTTTAATGAACCGTTGTCGATTTTCGAGTCCAACTCTATCAGTTTTTTTTTTTTTTTTTTGGTACCACCAGGATTTTTCGCGCTCCCTTATACGAGGAGATACGGTTTATTTATTTTGATTCGCTCTCGCGCCCGCCGAACACAATCAATAATTATACACGTGTGCTAATCGATCGGTCCGCGTGTTGTTCGCAGGATGCAACAGCAGCAGTTCGCCGCCCAGTTGGCGCATTCGGGCGGCCGGCACCTGAACCTGCGGCGGTCCATGTCGCCGGGCGCGGCCAGCACCACCGGTTCCGAGTCCAGCATCAGCCTGGGCGCGCCGTCCCCGGGTCCGCCGTCGTCGTTGCTGCTGCCGCCGCCGCACCAGTCGCACCAGTCGCTGCCGCCGCCGCCACCGCCGCCGCCGCTGCTCACCATCGACCCGCCGCGCATCGGTCTCACCAACCCGTCGCCGTGCACGTTGCCGCAACCGTTGGCGCTGCACAGGCCGTTCACGTGATACGGTCCGCCTCGCCCGCCGATCACCGCCGGCCGGTGATGCGCCGCCGCCACCGTCGTCGTCCGGTGCGATCACGGAAACGTTTCACGACGCTCGTCGTCGGTGCACACGCTGTTTTGTTGTCTTCGTTCTCCCGGCCCCGCCGTACGACGTTCGTTCTCGATTCCATTCCCCCCCCCCCATCATCCCCTGCCCGCCGGGGAGAACAAGTGTTTTATTATTATTATTATTATTATTATTATTATTACTGATGCTACCCTATTGTTTGCTGTTCTTACGATCACACACGTAAAGTGCGACGATATTATTATTATTATTATTATTATTATTATTATCGCGTCGGTGTGCCGATGTAGAGATTTCGCCGGAACGCGACCGAAAACTGAAAACGCATCCCCCGTCCGTCATATTTGTCAACGTCCGCGTTTGTGCACCGCGAACGGGTAGAACTTTTAAAAAAAAAACATAATACAATTCATAGTACACGATTCCACCACGACGCGAAATATACGATAAAATACGAAATATACCTTTCGGATTTCTTCGCAATGTAAATTATGCACATTATAAATACAAATCCAATACCAATACCAATCAGACGGATTCGGAATTATTGTCCCGCGTAAACATTTTCGAATTTCCACGTTTCACACCTCGTACAATTTCAACCACAGTTTGATACGCAAACAATCGCAGCGCAACAATCCTACATGTACATAGTTATTATTTGTAAATCAATTTAACCGCGTACCTCATCTTGGGACGCTTATTGTACCTATTACGATTACTATATTATTATACGTCATGTAGTTTGTAGATTTGTACATAGTTTTACATTAATTTTAGAACGTTTAAACGGTGCAATTAACATTATTCATGTATAAATATATAATTATAAACAAATATTTACGAACGACATATTTACGTACACGTAGAGCAGCAGTAGATTTATCATTATTATTATTATTATTATTATTATTATTATTTATTGTGTTGTAATATTATTTACGAGAAGAAATCTGTCGGAAAAAATGTAATGTATTTTTTTTTTTTTTTTTTAAACGCGAGTAATGTAATAATCAGATTTATTGTACATAATAAGACTCCATTTGATTATTACACATTATTTATACGTAGTTTCATTTATTTGTGCTATTTCTTGATGATTTTGTGCGAAGCGTAGTAATATTGTATTGATACTCTGCGACCTCTGCAACGGAGCTGTTTATTAAACAAAATCGAAATATATATTATTATTAATTGTTTGTTAATCATACTGTTTAATTCTTTCCGCGCACAAAAAAAAAAAAACCACACACACAAACACACGAGCGCTCACACAACCTTCCTGCGGTCACGTACGATCGTCTGATTGACGTTTTAATTTGTATTTTCTAAAAGGGGTCGACTATCGCGCGGGTGTGTGGTCGCATTTCGTATAAAACCGCCCTGCACTCATCCGCGGGTACAACAATGCGATATTTTTTCTGAGCGACATTCCCGGTGTTAATAACAATAATAATAGTTACAATAATCCATCGGATTCCCGATAGTACGTGATTTATCTGAAGACGAACGGATTACCGCGATGGACACATATCACTCATTTAAGAGTGGCTTTATTTTTTCGGATTTCTCGGCAACAATGTGTTTCAGCTACCTACCTAGTTGCTGTCAGGTAAAACATATATATGTATATTTCTCAGGGTAAATATCACAGGTACAGCATAGTGTGCACTGCGAACGGCCAACATTTTGTGAAACGCAAACTGCAAACGTCGTGAAGGACTGTGTGCCTCCTACCCGAATATAATATCTAGTATTTATACATTCAGTATATATTGGTGAATAAGTTCTAAACAACGAAAAACATTATGTTTCGTACGTACACTCGTAAGTACTCGGTAGTGTCAGCATACCGGATTACGATCCAGGCCGTAGAAAACCGACAAAATACAACGAAACGGCTTACACGTTTCGATCAGAATCTCATTACTTAAAATATAAATATTTATGCGCTTGTTTTCACCGTAACACAACGTATTTGAAGACACGTGCAAAGAAAAACGGAGAGATTGCGGTTGCAATTTACGAGGTATTTACTGTGGTTATTACCATACTTCATTAGTACCTTAAGAAAAAAAGAGTTATGGAGAATATCGAACGCAGTTGTCTGTTTTTATCGTGTATAATGTTATAACTAATGTAAGTAGGGAGATTGAAAACTCCGCCAAAATATCAGTTAGTATAAAAAGGTAATAAATGGTCTAATGTAAACTCTGCCAGGTTTTTTTTTCTTACCTGTAATGGGTATATGTAAACTGCGCCAATTATTTTTGTGTTTTGTCTGTGAATCCTTTCATAGTCATCTGAGAAATTAATTTTATAAATGTTAACCGAATGTTTATATTTTTAGTAAAGTTCTTACCGAATTCCAAACTCATACTTACATAAAACTTAATGTCATATCTCAAGTAAATAGCTTAAAAATTCGAAATAAAAAAAAAAAAAATGACAGCGTTACAGAATGCTATAAATAGGTACACTAATGGAGTAATACAAGACTTAAAATATTTACAAATTTTATCACATAATTTTAGTTTACATACATGACGACATAACTATATATTTTTGGATTATTAGGTATTACGATTATTTATAATGATTTTTTTACTATGATTTAAATATTTTATGTGAACGATATGATATTATTTTATATTATAATTTTTTTTTTAATAATATATCATATTAATTTTATACTGCTACTTGATTTTCTTCACTGGCGGAGTTTATATGAACTCAATTTTACCTGATTTTTTTTTAGTGGCGGAGTTCACATGAACCTAATTTTACATGTTTTTTTTCTGGCGGAGTTGGCAGTAAAAAAAGGTAGGTACTTGTGGCGAAGTTTACGTGCGCCCTGTAAGTATGTTGACAGTTTTGGGCTAGTTACTTTAAAAAAGTAATACGAGAATTTACTCGTTACTCATTAGTTAAGAGTTTTTAAATTACTTTAATTTCAATAAAAAAAGGTAACTGTGTTATTTTCGAGTTAAAATCGGAATAACATTTTTATACATTTATCAATATAATCTTTTAACTATTTATTTTTAAATATAATACAGAACCAATATATTTTCTGTTAAAAGTTTGTTCGATTATAGATATCAATTTTTAACGAGTACTATCAGAGAAATTGTTTGTACGAAATATTTTTTATTACGAACTAAATTGTTTATTTTCTACACGGAAATCGTCTTATAAAATATTGATTTCTTACACAAAAGTAGGACGTTACATATGTTTGATAATTACTGGCAGTAACATAATCGGTTTACATATGTGGCGCCAATACGTTTAAAAAATATTATCATACCGTCCGTCAAAAGGACCCTTCATCGTTCGCCCAAATTTTTTTTCCAATGTAACAATTAAATGTCAATCAAAGCACCTACATAATGTATTCATAGCTGAAAAAATATTTTACTGCATTTATTTTTTGGCTCAAATACCCAAAGATGGGCCCTCTCTACAAAATCTACTATAACATCTGTCAGATATTTTAGGTGATCTAATTTACACTACACGACTTATAAAATAAAAAAAAAAAAAACTAACGAATTCTTCTGAAATCAGATACCCACCCGTGTCTCAGTAAAGCATTTTATCTGCGCACATTATTATTTATATTACTGCGCACATTCATCAGTTGAGCTAAAATATGATTTTTGTTAAAAAATTTTTACGTCACGCTAATGAAGTACTTATAACGTTTATCAAAAATACATTTGGAAACATTCAGTGATTAAAGGTTAGTTATATTTTATTACTATTGTTATTATTTTTTTTTTGTAAATAGGCAAATTTTAGCGATAATATATAGTGTTATGCGTAATGAACGTGAAATTGGTTTTGTAATAAAAATTTAGCAGCATTAATAATATCGTGAACCAAACGGTGTACGTAGATAGAAGTCAAAACAGAAATAGATGTACATAGTTAATGTTTGAGGCTATCATCATATTCATGCGACGATTACATATAGTGTTGTGCGTTCTGTCCACATAACTATGCAAATAACAATGTATTTATTGTATAACACATATTTTATGTATACACGTAAGTATTCAATGAAATTACGTTCTAGTGAATTATAAAAATCCGAGCGCAAACGATGCGTGGTCCAGACTGGATTTAAATGGTCGGGCTATCGATGCGGCCAATGTTTTAATAATTATTTTCTAATTAACAATTTTTTTTGCTTGAAACTGTTCGTCATCATGATTTTTTACTACAATAATGTTAATTTAAAGATCTAGAAGATCAATAGGAGTATTGCATTTGAAATACGCAGTACGAGATAGTGTGAAGTAGAAATATTGAATAATGACGGCGAAAGTTCTTGCAGGAGAATATAGTAAAATCCAAGACATTGCGTTGAATATTTTTATTTTTCGTGCCATTTATATACATACATACTGCACTCGTATATACCTTGAACGTGAGATATATAAAAAATTTGATTTTTACAATAATGTTTGTCAGTTAATGCCTAAGCACTTACGGTATCGTCTATCAATGTTAGGCATTTACGTTTTTACCTAATTTATATAAATGACGGTAACATATATATATATATATATATATGATAAATGGAATTTATATGTCGTTAGAGCTGCTCCGACGAATACGTGCAGTGAAAAAATAAAAGCCCTTTCACCAGAATGTTTTCGGAACAGAAGAACAAGGACCTGTACAACGATATACGTATATTGTAATTGTATGGAAACGAATCCGCGGTGGGAGAAATAGAGATTGCTCGTACAAGCGAATTACACAGTGGACGGCGGAATAAAAATGCGCAGTGTCTCCCGTTCGATTCGTGTGCGGTATGTATTTAAGCGACGACGTTTAATGGGCTTTTAACGGATTTCGTTTCGAGTCGACGTCATTGTTATTTTTCGGTTTCAACCCCCACCCCCTTCCTCCAGGCATCATCATTATTGTTACTACTATTATTATTTCTGTTTAATGCGGATTAACCGTGTTAACGGTTACCACCGCCGCCGCATTTGCGTACACGCCACGTTGTTTAAGGGGGAGGGGAGCGTATAATATTATAATACTATGTCGGCGTGGTCGCATAAATATATGTATACGAGTATATACGTAACGTGTACTACACTAGTGTGCGTGTGCGTGTTGTTTATAGTGTGCAGCCATGCCACTGCTTGAAACAACAATCTCCCGAGGTATTAAAAAAAAAAAAAAATTTAGACGAGAGGTGTGAATTCCATTACCACGATACACACGTGTACGATAAACGGGTAGGCGGATGGCATGTGTGTGTGAAACAAGAGCGAAAGAGAGCTAAATCCAAAAGCACACCCTCGGCTGACTGCTCCGCGTGCACACATCCGTACCGCTTCCGTGCGTTATACATATATCTGTAAGCGGTTTCGCGCGTTGTAGCTTCTAGTCGCCAGACCGCAAAAGCCTTTTTCCCGCGTACCCCTCTCTTCGCGACCATTGCCCGTGCGCATACATATACGTCTGCATAAGGAGATCAAGGGAGCAGGATCTAGTGCACGCGTACCGGAGGCGCGTTTCGAAATCACTTAAAAGCCAACACGCCGTGTGTTACTCCGTAAGCCGCTTTGTCGTCGAAACAGTTCGCGTGCTATTCACTTGCAACGGTTCGAATCGCTGTTATTATCTATCTCAGACAAGTGTATTACATACAGGGGCGGACTGGGTTAAAATTTCAGGCCGGGAATTTTTTTTACCAAGCCAAAAATTGACAGGGGACCAACGATTTGGTCATAAGTATGCAAAAAGAAAAATAATAATGATAAAAACCTTTATTTAAAAAATATTTTCAACATTTTATGTTGATATATAAAATTACACATAATATATAAGATATTTTTTTTATAGATACAGTGCACACATTTTAATATAATATCTAAATATTAAAATTAACTCTTAAAGTAATTATTTTTTTACATAATTAGATTTTTTTTCATAACTTCACTAGTTTTCCCAGTTCTGTCGATTAAAATATCGCCACACTGTATTTGTCCCAGTGTTCTTCCAGGCCAGTCCGTCTCTGATTACATACATTTTAAACGTATCGAGATGCAAGAGACGATCGTCACTTCCGCCACGGCATGTACGCTGTCAAAATGCAATCGAAAACATTGTTTTTCGCAGCATTGCTCGGATCACTTCATCAAAACCTCCTCCATCATGCCGTAGACACTCTCCTTCC